TGAAAGGAAGGAGCACCAGGTGGCAGCGTGGAAGGTGGCACTGCCACCTAGGGCACGTTGGCCATTGAAGGACACCAGGGAGGGGGACAGCGGCCACCAGGTCACCTCTGGTGGCACCGCACAGCCCTCCACGCCCTCTCGTGGCACCTGCTCAGCACCACAACTGTCCCTGTCCCCATCCCGTCCCCAGGGAAACGTTCCCTGGGGCACACACATTCCCATCAGGATGGATGTGAATTCCAGCACGGACAGCAATGTCCACCCGTGCTCCAATTCCCACCAAAAGTCGGCGCAGGTCGGGGGAAGCCGAGCTTCTCTCACAGTGCAAACGGAGCAGATTTTCCCTCATTTATCCTCCCTGGCATCTGCAGCCTCTCCAGGCAACCAGTGCCAAGGCCCCACCACCCTCAGAGGGAAGGATTTCTTCCAAATATCCAATTTAAATCTACCTTTCTTCAGTTTAAACCCATTCTCCCTCATGCTATCACTCCGTGTCCTTGTCCTAAGTCCTTCTCCAGGTCTCTTGTACCCCAGAAGGTTCTGAGACCCCCCCCTCCTGTGCTCTGCTCTCCTCCCAGGGGGGATTATGGCACAGCCCCATCCGGCACAGCGCTGCCAGCAAAGCTTTGAAGTGCAGCCCTGGTAACGGAGCCTTCACTGCAGGAATGGGAGAGCGCCAGGACAGGGAGATCTCCGCCTCCATCCCTCGCTGCTCTGGGCAGAACTGGGAAAACGAGGTGGATTTTTATAAAAGAGGATGTCCAGGCAGGGAACAGGGTGGGTTTGCTCTGTGGTTCCAAGATCTTTGCCCTCTCACTTGTTGCTCCAGCCCAGCAGCCAAAAGGTTCTTCCCACCAGCGTGGGTGGAAATTCCCACAGAGCCATCCCTTAAGAACCAGCAACAATTCCCAGTCAGGGCTGGACAATTCCCAGCTCTGGCAAAGTGGAAGGTGAGTGAATGCACCCCGCTGACTCCTCCTGGCCAGGGGCCGGGCCCTAAACCCGAATTTTTTGGAGCATCTCCCGAGGAGCTGACCCAGCAGGGAGCAGCTCTTGGCACGGGAGGCTCGGGCTCCACACACGCCCCGTTGAGTCACGGCTTCGTTGGTGGCCTCAGCGGCACGGGGTGGCCCTGGGTGCGCTCAGGAGGGACCATTTTAGGCGCTGGTGACAGAAGTGTCAGCAACCAGGGCTAAAAATAGCGGTGTGGAAGGGACGAGATGGTCGGGCTGCTCAAATCCTGGCACGGCCCCACCGGTGCTGATAGCGAGTGCCCTTTGCTTGTTCTCCTGCTGCCAGGTCCCCTTATCTGTCCTTCCAGCCCCGGGTGTTTCTGTCACCCTGTCACCAGCTCCCCTGCCCTGACATTTGATCCCCCTGGGATGGTTGCAGGTTCCTGCTCGGGGGTTGTTGGCGCCTGTTCTGCCCTGCAGGGAGGATGTAAAACTCAACGTGCTGCAGGGGAGCTCGCACCTGGGCCACAGGACAGACCTGGATTTGTGGCAGTTCCCACCTGGGCCACAGGACAGACCTGGATTTGTGATTCAGGATCTGCAGGGCTTTCACTGCTCTTCAGAGCACTCTTGGATTTCTGCTTTCCCTCCCTAAGGAGCTGGAATCATCCTCTGTTCCCTCTGGATCGTTCATCAGTTTTGGATTCACCATCCCAAAGAGTTCAAGGCCAGGCTGGACAAGGCTTGGAGCACCCTGGAATAATGGGAGGTGTCCCTGCCGATGGCAGAAGTGGCACTGGATGAGCTTTCAGGTCCCTTCCAACCCAAAACAGGCTGGGATTCCTTGATTCTGTCGTGGTGATGGGGAAACTGAGGCAGGGAGGTGTCACAACTTCCCAGGTTGGGAAGCACCAGCAGAGCAGAGCCCACACTCCCTGCCGTGCTCATCAGGGGTGTCCCACTCTCTCAAGACACCCCACAAATTCTCGGGGTTAAATCCTGGACTCATGATGCAAAGCAGCTCCTGCTATTGAGGGCCGTGATTACCTCGGGAACATCTGTGCTGACAATTGCTGAGTGGCAGCATAATTCCCAGCAGCTCTGCCTCCGCCGCCTCCTCCTCCACGGGCTTTATTTCAAAGCACGCTCCCTGCAAAGCCCTGCCGTGCCTGATGAAGGGAAAAGCTTGGAAAAAAAAAAAAACAACAAAAAAAACCAGGCAGCAGAATTAAAACCTCAGGCTTGCAGCAAAGCCAAGCCAGCCATCCCAAAAATCCACCTGCACAAACCTTTCCCCGATCTCGGGGTCAACCCTCACAGTCAAGGGCTTGGGGTTGTCCTTGCAGCTTTTGGCTTTGCCATGGACATCCCGACCTCCCAGGACTGGATGGACACACCTGGACTTTCCCTGGTGCATCACAAGCTGGAATCTGTGCTGGAATTTTTTTTTTTTTTTTTAATTTTTTCCCTCCAGACATCTGGTGGAAGAACACATCAGGAGCAGGGATGGGCTGGGGGAAAGCATTCCAGCAAATCAGGAAAGCTCTGCTGAGGGCCATCCATCCCTTAAATGAACACCCATAGCAGGGATGCTGCCCTGGGGCCTACGGACATTCCTTGGCTATATTTGGTGATGGATGGAGAATTTGTTGCTTCCCCTCAGTCCATCTGTTCCCCTCATTGGCAGGGAGGAGCTGCAGTGGCGCTGCTCGGGTGAAGCCGGTACTTCAGCAGCCATAAATCTCCTAAATCTCCTCTGCTGAGCTTTTGCTGCCTCCCACCTGTTGGCTGGGAGAAGATCAAGTTGACAAAAGTCTCCTGCCAAAGCTGTATTTTTATCCAGGGCTTCATCACGAGCCCAGGTGCCCCACAAAAGCCTCTCACGAAGCAGAGGGAGGTGGTTGTATCCCACCCCTCCCACTGGCCTCCAAAATAAGTGCTTTAATCACATTTTCTGAATTCCCTTAAACCCCAAAACCCCTTTTTCCTTCTCGTCACCCTCACCCCATCACCATAAAAGCTGGGAGGTCCCAAGCAGGGAGCTCAGACCCTGCACCAGGCAGCCAAAAATTCATTGTGAGAACAGAGGGAGCCGGGCTGGGACCAACACTGTTTATTATGGGAAAAACACCCCGAGGGATCCCATTAACATGGCATAAAACCACCGGAGGACAATGAAGTGAAATCCACAGCAACAGACACACAGCAGGAAAAGTCCAGTTGTCAGCCAGGACAGCACAGAGGCACAACCCTAAAGGAGAAGTGCCCATCCCAAGGAATGATCCCAGGGACACTCCCCAGCCCGAGGGGACACAGGGAAAGACACAAGCAGCAAATCCTCGTCTTCCAGTTGTAGTGATGGAGGAGAGGAAAAAAAAAAAAATTAAAAACAGAGGAAGCCACGTGGATAAAAGCAAAAGGGGAAGCCATGGTGGGAATGGAAAATCCTCCCTGCTCAGGAAGGATCTGGGGAGGTCTGGCTCACCTGGGGCACATTTACTGAGCCCCACATCTCCCAGGGAGCCCCTAAACTGCCCTGGCAGCAGGAAGACCCAAAGCAAGGTCACTAAAACCCTGTCCCCAACTCCCTGTGCACCTCAGGGCCTGGAGAGGCAGCAGGAATCTGCTAAAATCCAAGTTTCTGCCCCAAAACCACAACCCATTGCTTCCCTGGGCATCCATCTCCTCCTGCCAACAGCAGCATCAGCTCTGGATCATCCCATGGACACGTCCCCGTGTCCCCAACCCCACTGGCACCCTGCCCTGCTCCCCAGGGCTGGCTGACAATTCCATTCCTCCTGCAACATCCTCTGCCCTGCACAAGCCAGGCTTGGCTGGGCTTCCACCATCTTCAGGAAACACCTTGGAAATGTTTACTGGCTGTGCTCCCCCTCCCAGCTGCCAAAAAGGTCTCCAAGATTCAGTTCAGATCCCAAAATCTTGGGTTCACGTTAAAAAAAGACAAAACTTTTCTATAAAGCTGAGTGCTGGCGGATGTGACACTCAGAAATTCATTTCTCCCAAGATTTTTCGTTTGTTTGTTTGGATTTTAGACCTTCCTCCGAGGTGTTTGTCACCCAGATGTGACAGTTAACAGTCTGCCAAAGAATTTTTTTTTGAGGGGGGGGGGAAAAAGTGCAATTTGCTTTTCACTGCTAGAGCAGGATTAGTGCAATGAGAAAAATCTCCCGAGCCACTGAAGGCATCCCCAGCTTGGTTATTTACATATTCCTCAAAAGGGTGATAATTCCAGCTCCAGCCTCACTGTTTGAGCTGAGACTTCCCTGGAAAGAGCCAGACACACAAACTGGAAAATTTCAGCCCGTGGCATTTGTAGAAAACTGTCTGATAATATTGAGCATCCTTCCTGCTCAGCCGTGGGGTGTCATACCAAAAAAAAAAAAAAAAAAAAAAAAAAAAAAAAAAAAAAGAAAAAAGGAAAAGAAAAGAGAAAAACCCACAAGGAAGAAATAATCTTTAAATTTTCCTCCTGAGTGTCTCCTTTGGGACAGGGCTTTGAGCAGAAATGTCAGTGTGATTTTCACACCAGTTTCTCTCCCATTGATTTCCCATCCTGTTTTTTAATCAGAGATTTGGTTCTCTCACAGCATCGCTAACAGAGGTGTCTATTTTAGGAAACACCAGAGGTTTTAAGAAGCTGAGGAGAAAAAGATTATCAACTCATATGGGCTCAGCCTAAAAAGAGAGAGAAAAAAAATCCTTTAATTGAAATCCCCAGGCTGAAATTCTCTGCAGATTTACCTAAATGGACTTCAAATGATGTCCCTAATATATCAAGGCCTGCTTTTAACTTAATTCAAGCCCTGGGCATGCATCTGCAGCCCTTGGACAAGCTGGGCTTTGGATGCTCACTGAGATTATTAGTTTTAAGTGCTAAATCATGCAAGTGTGATACCCAAATATCAAAACCTGGGCCAACAATACACCAGCCCAAAGCTCCAAGCAGGAAACGGGATTTAAAAAAAAAAAAATAGGTTAAATATTTGTTTCTATTTTTCCAAATTTAAGCTGGCAAAATCAAAATGTGAAAGGACAGACATTGAGTATTTTCTGATTGGGGAGCAGCAGCTGGGGCAGTGAAGGAACAATATCACGGTTTAATTCCAGTTAAAAGGGACAAAATTTTGTTTCAAAGCTGCTTGGAAGGTTTTTTTTTTGGGTGCTCCCAACATTCCAGCTCAACAGTTCAGCCTCAACATTTGCTTGGCAAAGCCAGGAGGCTTTGGGGGGGTTTTAAATAAATAAATAGGTTAAACCTGCCTGGCACAAAGATCAGACCCATCCTGCAGGGGTTTTGCCCGGAGCAAGTGCAGAGTGCACAGAGGAACTGGGAAAACATCTCCTGGCACAGAGGAGCCTCCAGTCCCACGGGGAGCAGGGACAATGCCACAACACCCCCACAACAACAGAGGCACCAAGGAAAATTCTCCTCCTCTCTCCCTGCCCCTGGGTGAGGGATGAGCTCCCATTCCCAGAACAAGCATTCCCTGTAGGATCAACATTCCCTGTAGGATCAGAGGGGGGAGCTGGAGGATCCCCCCACCACCCCCATCCTCACTATTTGCTGTTGGGGTTCTGCTGCTTCTCCTGCCTCTGCTTGTGTTTTTGGGCCACGCCGTAGGGGACGTGGGCGGCCACGGTGCCCAACTCCTGCGCTCCCTCCACGTGGAACATCTGGTCATCAAAGAAGATGTGGGGCCGGATTTTCCTCAGCAGAGGCCCCTTGGGAGCCCCTGCCAGGAACAGAGCCTCGTCTGTCTCCAAGCCCCAGCTCCTCAGAGTTTTTAGGGCTCGGGCCCCCGAGCTGGCGGCGCTCCGCGCTGTCACCAGGTACGTGCGGATGGGACACTCCAGCCTCAGCCCCTTGGAGTAGAATTTCTTCTGCAGCTTCCCCAGAGCCTCCAGGAAGCCTTTCAGAGGGCCCTGATGGAGAAAAATAAACCAAACCCTGTCACCTTGTGATGCTTTTAGTTGTTATGTTGTTCAGAATCTCCGCTGCTTTTTCCCTCCCCATAAAATGAATCTGTGTTTTCACAGCTTGGCTCAGGGTGTAGTTGAGGTGGGGATTTTGATGACCAGGAGTGTTTTGCTGATGGGAAGAGAGTCAAGCCACACCTGGAGCAGGCCACATTTTTGGATTCATTAACTCTGTTATAAGTTCTCTTCACAGGGTGGTTGGACAAAACAATTCCTTCCTAGCTGGAAAATCAAGGACAACTGGTACCCAAAAAACAGAAACAACAGCAAAGGGAAGGGGGCAAGCCAGGGGGCTGAGACTTCATAGCCTGGGGCTGTGGTTGGATAATAAACCCCAATATGTGGATAAACCAAAACTTATAAAAGTGTAAAAACTCATGACTGGGATCTATGTTGGATGTGATTTGGGTGTAGCCCTGGCCAGGCTCTTGCACTGCCCAAAGCGTATCCTTTCAACAAATCCCTATTTTATTCCTTTCAATAAATACCTATTTTATTCTTTTTGCTCTGTCTAGTCTCTGTTCCAGCTCAGCCTTTCCAGGCAATCCTATCACCACCCCTTCACCCTGTGAGCCACCCCAAAAAACGACCCCAAATCCATCCCTGCTGCCTGACCCCACCTCGCATCCCACTCTGGCTCCCAAAATTGAGAGCATCCCATGAGGGCTGCCTCTCTCCCAGAGCCTTTTCCTGCCTCCAGCCCAGCTCTACCTGTGCCAGGGGTTTGTTCTCATGAGCTTTTTCGTGCTCAAAGAACTTGTCCAAGCCGTGAGCCTTCACGATCTGCTCCGACTCGTCCGAGAAGAGCACGGCGTCCCCGTCGAACGCCACCCGCAGCTGCTTCTCCGACACCTCCAGGTCCCTGCTGGGGCTGAAGATGGTGGCTGCAGCAATCCCTGAGCACGAGGTAAGAGGCTGGGAGTTATCCAAGGATCCGTCCTCGTGGCTCAGCCACAGAGGAGCAGAGCAAAAACACGGCGGGGCTGGGAGCAAAACCCCGCGAGGAAACGCAGCCCGGAGCACCTGCAGCTCAGCCCCGAGAGCTTCCACGGCAAAAACAAACCCCCAGATGAGAAATCAACCTTTGCATACGAGGATTAAGGAGGAAAAAACACCGGCTTTGCCTCGGGAGAGCTGTGGAGCTGGAGGAAAAGCTCATTTCTATGGAAACTGGAGGCTTTTTGGAGCATTTGGGGCAAGGCAAACCTTGAGTGCATGGGATGTGGATGTTGGAGTTATCCTTGCTGGGATCAACCCCCTGAGGGCTTCCCCCCGCTGCCCCCCCTGAGCTGGACCCCAGACTCACCCTCTTCAATGGCCCCACTCACTTTCTCAGCATCAGAGGAGAGGTAGAGGTTGGTGTGATAGGCCTTGAGGTAACAGATGGGGCTGTTCCCTCCTGTCATGCAGAACCTCTCGATGAACAGACCTGAGGGCAAAGAGGGACCCTGGGGTGAGCCTGGCTGACCCCCCCCAAAACCCAGCCTTGTGATTCTGCTGCCCAACAGCAGAGCCAGCAGCCAGAGCCCCTCCCCACACCAGCCAGCTCAACACCCAGAAAATCGGGCAGAAAACATCTCCTTTTCTTGGTGCCAAAGCCATGACACCACCAAGGACAGCTCGGTCCTGAGATAAATGTGATTCGTGCTAATTAAATCGTAACTATATTAACAAAATTGTATTTAAATCAATAGAAGACAATTGTTACAGAGTGAGGGGGGGAAATGGGTGAGACAGGACACAGGACATCTTCCAGATGCTGGGAGTTGAAGAAGGAGGTTGGAAGAAAGTCAAACAAGAATAGTAGAAGGACGTAGGTCTGATAAGCAGCATCTAGAAATAGAAAGTTTTGACCTTGAAATGGGCCAAAATGGGATGATTCCAGGCATGGGACTCAATTAAAGTCTTGTTATGGAAAACATCTGCTCAGTCACACAGTGAGCATGCACTACCTGCAGGTCACACCTTGGTCAGTGAGGAGGATGATGAGCCTTCATCGGAAATAAGACCCTCAAAAGGATGAGAGACCCCCTAACCCATTAGTAGAGCATGCACCTTACACATAGTGATGCACATTTTAGGAATAGAAACTGGGAGGAGTTTTCTAGAAACTTCTGTAGCCTGCAGTCAATAAGTGGGATTGTTAGCCTGGATGCTTTGGTACGTGAGGAATGGGAGCCACTCCCTGAACCCCCACTCAGGGGGGCCTTCCCTGGTCTGTGAACCTCAATTATACTAAATTACTTACTGCCAAAATTTTGCATATTCTTAAATATCTGCACTTTGACTGTACTCATCTCCTATACTTCGATTATATTCATTTTGTTACTATTAAAAATTTACTATTAAATTTCATCTTGTTGCTTGATAAACCCGAAAAACAGAACACCATTGATAACATTCCCCATCTCACCGTAGTGGTTGATGCTGTTGATCAAACGAACCCCAACCTGGGCGTGGTTGTTGGTCATGAGGACGATGTCGAAGAGCTCCTCACTGTCAGGGTAGAGCTCACGGAGCTGAGCATTCACTGCCTCCAGAGCCTGCAGCACCCCGGGGACAGGGGGTGGGTGTCAGCCTGGCCCCCCCAGGTGGGGCCCTGACCCCCTTCCCACCCAGCAAAACACTCCTGGTCACCAAATCCACGGATATGGGCAGCCCCAGGTGTGCCCTGACCCCCTTCCCATAAAAAAAACCCACTACTGGTCATCAAAATCCCCAAATCTGGACAGTCCCAAGTGTGCCCTGACCCCTTCCCATAAAGAAAACATTCCTGGTCATCAAAATCCCCAAATCTGGCCAGCTCCAGGTGTGGCCTGACTCCCTTCCCATCAACAAAACACTCCTGGTCATCAAAATCCCCACACATCAACTGAGCCAAGCTGACATCAGCTGGGAAAAAATAGATTCATTTTGGGGGAGGAAAAAATCCACCTAGCTACTCTTCTGTTGTCAAACACAAAAGGGTTGGAGTTATTAAATGAGGATAAATTAGCTCCAAGTTACAGATAAGTGTTTTTCAAGCAATCAGAAACAAGTCTTGCCCCACAGAGCTGATGAATTTATTCTTTGGGAACAGACTCCAGCACCCAAAACTGCACTAACTGGTACAGGAGTTTGAAAATATTTTTCAAGTTTGAAATGCCTCATTTCAACACAGTCAGAATTAGAAATTGGCCGACTCGGGAGCAAGGCTAAACTCAGCCAATTTACAAGAATAAATAAACTGCAATAATAATCGTAATTAAAAAAAAAAAATTAAAAAATTTCTAAAAAGACAATTCACTAAAGGGAAACTTGAAATGTGATCCAAGGAGATGATTTGTTCAATTCTTGGGCTCAAGATGGAAAATCCAGCCCTGGAAGCAGCACATCACTTGCTGGGAGGTTTAGCTTCCCTCTGCTTGCTCCATCCCTCCTGCCCTGCTGCTCGTGTCCACCCTGACCCCAAAATTTTCGGGGACCACGGCTCACCTTGACGAAGGGGAAGGCAGCCCCGGGGAGGAAGGGCTCGTTCTCGTGGTCCAGCTGATATTTCACGTAGGCCTCCACGCCCTGCTCCGTGTAAATCTTCTGCTCCTCCTCCATGCGGAACAGCGCCCGCGAGGACACGGCGATGGTGATGGCGTTCTCGGGTTTGGGCTGGGGGCACAGGGACAAATTAGGGGAGGCCAGCCCCTGCTGCCAGGCTGGGGTGGCACCTCGCAGCCTGAAAGGTGGGTGACACCTCTGAAAGGATTTTTCAGCAGCTGCATCCCAGTGCTCCAGAAGATGAAGCCTTGATGCTCCATCCCTGCGTCCTCAGATCCCACTGCCAAGCCCTCCCGCTGCAAACAGGCCCCCAGAACCCCTGCAGACCCCAGGAGAAGCCCCTGCAGAAGGGATTTGTGTGGCTTTTCCCACCCCCCAGGCAGGAAAGAGCAGCGCTCTGGGGCTGAGCCAGATGTGCATCCCGTGATGCATCCAGATGTGACAAACAGCCTGTGCCAGCTCAGCTCCTCCAAACACTTGATACAGTTATTGTGGGTGGAAACATGACAAACAGGTGGTGCAAGCAATGATTTATGAGTCATTATTACGAATGTTCGAGGGCTGGATCCAAAACCCAAATCCAAAATCCGGATCCAAATCCCAAATCCAAAAGCTCCTCCAGCTGAAGCCAACGAGGCGCCTCCAGAGGGGACAGCGGGGAAGTCAAGCTCATCTCAACCCCCCACCCATCCTCCCTCTCTCCCCTTGCAGGGCAGGGAGGGTGTTAATCCCCATCACTCACTTGCAAGTACAAAAATAAGTTAATTACTGATGGCCAGTGAGAAATCCTGGCTGCCAGGACAGCAAATCCTACAGAGGGACAGTGACACAGAGAGTCCTGTCCCCTACAGGGGAGTCCAGCGAGCAGGACAGGGCTTGGGGGGGCTCTCTGAGAAATCCTGGCTGCCAGCCAGCCTCACCCCCTGCTCTTCTGTGACTTCCAGGATCCTCTGTGCCATTTAACCATGAGTAATCCTCCGGCAATGCCATTTACCCAGGGTGGAGGGTGCCTCCCCCAGCACACCCAGGTGCTCCAAAGTTCAAGCTCCCACCCTGCCCAGGGCTGAACTTTCCAGGAGCAGCAGCCTGTGCCCCATCCACACTGGGATTCACTCCCTGCAGGGTTGGGCTCGCTCTGTCCCCAGCCCCACCCAGCAATGAGCCAGTGGGAGCATCCACACCATTCCCAGCAGCAGGCACCTCTCCAAAATCCCAGCATCCATCCCCAAAATCCCCCAAATCCCCAGCAAAGCGATTAAACAGCGAGACCCAGATTAGGTTGGGCTGAGAAGATCACTGCAGCCACAGGGATCCCTTTCCCACAGCATTTCCAGGGGAAATCAGATCCCCTGTGGAAGTGAATCTTTTAAGAAAGCAAGGGAACAACCCCCAGGACATGCAGGACGTGATCCAGGACACCAGCACTGCTCCCCCAGGTGTATCAGCTGTTAAACTGGTCATGAGCCAAGCCTTGGCACTTCAGCTCATTAATTAATAACTCTGGTGTCATGGGCCATTTATTAGCTGAAAATATTAATAACTCTGAAAGGTCTTGGGACATCCGGCCATTAGCTGGAGTCCTGCTGCTCCATCCTGCCCCTGAAATCTTCCAGGTGTTTGTTCCCTGATCCTGGACCAGCCTCAGCCCTGCAGGGAGATTCCCAGGAGAGAAAAAAAAACCCAACCAAACAGATGTAACAGCACCGAGGCGTGTTCTAGGGGCAGAGAAGGATGTTTGGGGCCACAAGCCAAGCCAGGTGCCCAGAGGGAATTTCCATCTCCCTCTTCCCCCCCAGCGCACACCTTCCACACCTTGTGCAACAGCCCCGGCTGCTCAAGGTCCTTTCCCCGCCTCTGAGAGGCACCAGCCCTCGGGGAGGTTCATTTAAGAGGCAATAAACACAGCAATAAAAATAACCCTCAGCTCCAGGCCTGGCTCTGCCCCAGCGTGGGCTGCTGGAGCCCCAGGTGCCTGCGGGCAGGGAGCCTCTGGGAATGGGACCTGCCAGGTCCTGCCAGGGAAGATTTGCACCTTTCGGAGCACTCGGGGCAGGAAAGTCTCACCCGGGTGCTGAAGCAGCTCCCGGCTCTGGCTGGGCTGGAATGGCCCTGCTGTTCTCTGGGAAATGCTGACATTTGGGAAACGAGGCGATTCTGCACTGCAAGGAGGGATCTGCATTTTGACATTTCTTTGAAGTGGAGGTTTCATTTGGAAGCGTTCCCTCCTCGGGGTTGTTTGGATGCCTCTCTGTCCCCATTAGTGCTGCAGATGGTCATTACAACGCTCAAAAATGAGCTTTAAAAAGCCTCAGGAACCACAGCACCTCAAATCCTCTGTCTGAGTGCTGCAAGCAACCCACCAGCACCACTTTTCCCCAGAAATTGTGATGTTTCAAGGCAAACGCTCTTCTTTTCTAACAGGAAATGCGTGCATGGGAGGGGTCCCACGGCCCCCATCCCACCACAGCCTCCTGCTCTGGCTGCCCCAGCCCTGGAGGGTTTGGGCTGAATCACAAACTCGGTTTTCCCCTCAGAGCAGCATCCAAGGTCAGCCAAGGTCAGCAAAAGCTCATCCAACACAAGTCCAGGCTCTGCTCAGCCGAATCCGACTGAATTTGCTGCCCGGGGATTCATGGTGAGCTCCTCTCCCTTCCCATGGGAAGGTCAGATCCAGTCCCCTCCTGAACCTCCAGCAAGAGATTAATGATGGGTTTAAGAGGAGTATGAACAGGGTGGGGAAGGTCCCATCCCAATCCTGGGTCCATCCCTAGGGTCACCCAAACAGGAGGGACAACCAGGGACATGTCCTGACCCTCTGAACAGGAACATCAGCCACTGGCACAGCTCCAGGCAGTCCACAAGGTCCAAACCCCACCCCAGAAGTGTAAAAACACCTTTGCAGCTCCATTGAGTACAAACCCCATCCCAGACCCCAAACCCCTCAGTTTTGGGGTAAAGGTGTATTTCACACCTGAAACAGCCCAATTTTCTCCCTCTGGATCCAACAGCTGGCAGCCTTTAAATCGCTGCTCTAATCAGATGTAAATCCTAAGCAGCCCCCCAAGGATTAGAGGAAATCTGGAAATGCCACAGGCCCCTGGGATGTGCAGTGGGACCGTGTCCTCCCAGCCACCAGAGCCACAGGTGCCCACAGTGCCACCCAACCCCAGCAGCTTCACTGCCACCCCTGGCAGGAGCCACAGTGGGGACCCCATTCTGCACCCCTCGATCCTTCTGAGCTGCGTGGGGCTGGACCCCACTCCACCCTAAAATCCTGCAGGAATTCTGGCAGCCCCAGGCACTTCCCTGGATGCTGCAAAAGACCAAATTCTTGTGATTAATTCAATATTCAGAGGTGGATTTTGGTCATGGAAAGGGGAAGAGGAAGGGTTTGCTCCAGGGTCAAGCATTGTCCCCACTCCAGGGTCAAGGTGTCCCCACCCAAAAATCAGGGTGAGATAGGTGGGTCCCAGAGGAAGGGAACCAGCAGAAAACCATCTCCCACTGACCCGTGTCACCAGAGAGGCTGGGGGACATTTCCAGCATTGCTGAAGGGTGACAGGTCTCATCGCTGACCTCCCTGGCAGGAGCAGCCTGGAAGAGGAGCTGCGACCACTGCAAAGCAGGAATGCCCCATTAACCCATTCCCCAGCCAGGAATGACTTCCCCAAAAATCCCCTTTTCTCCTGTCACCTCGCACAGCTCTCTCCTGCTCCTGTCTGGCCAGGAGGACAGACAGACACAGCACCCCTAAGGGCACAGACAGACACCAAACCCCATTTCCTGAAGGAGCCCCGGGCACCACGAGCCCCCTGCTCAGGATCAGATTAAAGTTCAGGGCACTGAGGCCAGATTGGTTTGGAGTTTTCCAAGAGCATTATTTATACTGGGAAAAGCACTCTGCAGCCATCCATCACGGGCTGGCAGCTGCCTGGCTGGGAGAGAGCAGCTGAGCTGGGGCCCCCAGCCTGCCCCAGAAGAGGGGCACAGCGCCTGGCATCACCCCCAGCCCCACAGAGAGTGGTGGCACAGCGCCTGGCATCACCCCCAGCCCCACAGAGAGTGGTGGCACAGCCTGGCATCACCCCCAGCTCCGTGCCTGGACCTGGCTTTGCAAACCTCGCTGCCCCTCATGGTGCCTCAGTTTCCCCCGCCGTGCAGCAGGGATGGGTTACTGATCAGCGAGCTGGTGGCGAGGAGAGCAAGAGCAAGAGGAGCCCGGGCTGGCACCCACGAGCAAAGCGTGGCATGAAAGACAAGCAGCTGCGTTCTGCCACCGAGCCGGGCTGTCCCCCTGCTCCGGGAGGGCACAGGCAGCAGCAGTGTGAGCTGGCAGAGGGTCCAGGCCCGGGGGTGGCACTCTGGTCACAGCAGGGAAAGCCCAAAGGCTGCTCCAGGTGAAGGCTTGGACGTGGCGAGGTCACACCCAGAGCTTTGCCACACAAGGTGCCAGTGGCCACCGGGTCCCCCCCACCTCGCCCTGGGCGGCTCCTCTGCCACATCCCGGGTTTTGGGGGTCCCACGGCCCCGAGGGTGGCTGTGGGGGCTCAGAGGCTGCAGGGGCAGGGCCAGCCCGTCCCGGGCACAGCCCCCAGCCCTGCCAGGTTGCCAGCCCGTCCCGGGCACAGCCCCCAGCCCTGCCAGGTTGCCAGCCCCGCTGTCCCGCTGCTATTCCGGGATCCGCGGGGCCGCTCTCCCAGGAGCTCCCGTGTTTAAACGCGGCAGGCTCAGCCCTCGTTAGATAACACAGCCTTTCCCTCTAATCTCCCGGAGCCTGCCAGGGGCAGCGACACCCCTGTGACACCCCGCTGGCTCCTGGACTGTCCCCCGGCTCTGGCAGTGCCACCACTCCTGCCCCTGGCAGGTCCCCTCCTGCCTTGGCAGCTCATGGGGCACCGGGCCACTCTGCAAGGACATCTCAGCCCAGGAGGGAGCCAGGAGCACCACGGGCACCTGCAGGAGCCCAGAGAGACCCCAAGGCGACCAAGGGCGACACAGGGATGCCATGAAGGAGTGGGAGCACCTGGAGAGAATCAGGGCATCGCCAAGGACCTGGATGGAGGCAGGGGGTGAAAGAAACACCAGAGACACCACGGGGGACCCCACAGAACCCGGAGGAGTCGGGGAACATGGAGACACTCAGGGGGACCCCAAAACACGTGGAGGAAATGGGGCAGCGGGAGAGACCCCAGAGAGCCTGGAGGAGATGGGGGCACCCACAGACAGCCGGGGGAGGTTCCATGGGGGAATCCAGAGGAGATGAAGCACCCAGGAGAACCCGCAGGAGATGGGGGGGGATACCGGGAGAGCCCCGGGGAACCCGCAGGAGATGGGGCAGGTGGGGCGGGGGCTGCGTTCCCCCCGTGCCGGGGAGCGCCGCGCGGCACCTCGGGGGCTCTCACCGATTTGGGTTTCTTCTTAGGGGCGAGGTTATCGTAGAAAGCCTTGGCTTCATCCCAGGGTCTCCCCGGAGCCTCGGCGGGACCCGGCGGTTCCATAGCGCGGCGGCTCCGGGGCACCGGCGGCTCCGCTCGTCCCGGGAGCTCCCGGAGCCGGGGCCGGCCCGGCGGAACGCGCTTTATAAGGCATCCCATGAAGCTCCGGGCTTTCAGTCCACCGGGACACGGATTAACCTCTTCGGGACCGAGCGCTCCTCGCAGCCGCCGCGCTCCCCACGGTGATCCCGGGGAGCTGCGGGGAATTGAGGAGGGAGCTCCGGCTCCAGGGCAGAGCCAGCGGAGGGGGCAGCGAACGCCTGGGAGAGAGGGGAAGGGGTTGGGGACAAAGGTGACATCAGCAGAGCCCCGGGAGGACGCGGGGCAGGGGAACCCCTGGGGACACCAACTCCTGCTCGCCCCAAGCCGCTGGTCCCTGGGGTTTGGGCATCCTTGAGAGCACAGGAAAGGGCACGAGGGTGGGCAGTGCTGGGAGCTGGAGAGGTTGGAGCAGCCGGGGTGGTGGCAGCAGGAAAGGACACAGGTGTGGTGGGACCCTGCTTCGTGGCAGGGTGACCTGAGCCATTCACTGGTTAATGGAATTAGTGCGGGTGTTAATTAAGGCTCTCCACTCCCACGAGGGCTGGTGGGAGCAGCTACAGAGCTGCGCATTCAGCTCAGGCTGAAAATTCCACCACAACCAGCAGACCCCCAGAAGCCTTTGGAGAGCAGCGGGTGCATCCCAGGGACCAAAACCCAAGAGCCAGGAAGGGGCGAGGGATGGAGGATCTCACCTGGAACAGGGCAGCCCCTGGGGCGAGGCCACAGAACAGGGTTTTACCCAAATCTCTGTGCTCCAGCTAAAGAAAAACCCTCCCTACAAATCACAGCCTCGAGAACCCCCCTGTCCATGTGTCCAACCCAACACCACCCCACTTCCACTGAGCTCCAGCCAGGAGAGCAGAGCCACGGTGTGTGCTGGTGAGCTGTGTCCTGGCTCCAGGAATCCCAAACCCTTCGGGAATCATTTCAGCATCGTTTCAGCCTCACAGACTTCCTTTCCCCAGGGCCTTTGCAGCTCCCTGCTGGGAAACACCTGAGCTTCCTTTGGGGTGGCCCCCAGGGATCCAAGCAGGAGCTTGGAGGGCCCTGGGATCACCAGGCTATTCTTGGAGTTTTCCCTTAAGCTTTTTGAGTTGCTGCCCTTCGAGGCAGCAGCCCTGGCACGTCCCCAGCTCCCAGAGGGTGGGAGAACCTTGCCCCATTCCCTCTCCCCCATTCCCTCTCCCCCAGGCAGTGCTGAGCTGCAAACTCACACGCGCGCTCCTGGAAAGCACAGCGGCCAAAGCCGAGGTGCAGAGCTCTCCCATCAGCAGCACTCCTAAAAATAAAAAGCCTGCCTGTGGTTTTGGCACCCTCCCATCCCCGTGCTCCCGTGCTGGCTGCTGCAGGACACACCAGAGGCTGGGGAATTGCAGGATCCGGGTGGGATGGGGTGAGCTGGGAGCCAGCGCTGCTGCCCAAGAGCCAGCCCTGCTGGATTGATCACAGAGAAGGATTAAAATTTGGTGAGAGCTCCTTAGCAACAGTCACTGTCTGTGCAGGCTGCTGGGGGAGAAGAAAGGCCAGAGGAAAATCTGTGCGGGGAAGATGGGGGTGGAGAAAAGAAAGACAAAGATGCACCGAGAGCAGGTCCCAGTTGCTGACAGATGGAGCCCAGGAAAAAGCCACCAGCCCTGAGGGAAGGGCACAGCCCTGGGCCAGCTCCTGGTTGACAAATGAAACCCATTTCAAGGGAGGTTTGGGGTCTGGGCCTCCCCACCCCAAAATTGACATTCTCTTCCCCAGAGTTGCCTGCACAACTGAAGGGTTTCACCTTCAGGGCTCCCCAGCCTGAGCCCCACTCTGCTGTCCCCAAGGGTTTCTCCACCCCTTGGGGTGTCACAGGCGCAGGTGAGACCCCTAAAATATCCTCGGAAGTGCAGTGTTGTCACCTCACTGTGCCCAGTCAGCTGCCCCCCAATAATCCACCCAGAGGGGGGACACCACACACAGGGGACAGTTTATTTTTCCATTAAAAAAATAGGCAAGGACTTCACCATCTCCTAACAGACACCACAACCATCAACACCACAACGTGCAGACTAAACACCAACCTGGGACAGACTAAACCCCAGCCTGGGACAGGAGGGGTGGATGCAGCAGCCTGGGATTTGTTTCTTGTGGCCTCAGGGCTTTGCCAGGAGGCTCAGCAGGTACAGGACCCATCCACACCTCCCCACAGCCCCCACCCAGCACCCAGCTGTCCCCACAGCAGTGTCACACACCCAGGAGCAGCACCAGCACCTGCCTTCCACAGCCACGCTCCTGACCCCACCTCCAGTTTGGGACCACAGGTGTCACCTCAATATCCAGCAAGGTCAGAAATGCCACAGAGCACCCAGAGCTGTGGATGTCACCCACCTGATGGGATGGAAGGTGGCTTTTTGGGATGGGACCGCATCCCGGGCTGGCCTTGGACAATTCTGTTCTCCTTTCAACCAACCCTGGCTGTTCCCAGCAGGAAAAAAAGGTGGAAGAGCTAAAGCTGGTGCAAGATCCTGCCCTGGCCTCTCCAGGGAATTGCCAGTGAATGAGGGACCAGGAGCAGGACTTGGGACTTTTCAGCCTCCCTGGAGACATCACAAGCCATGAAACTGAGGGGGAAAACCAGCAGGAAGGGGACAGAGTTGGTCTAATTTAGGATCAGGGAATGGGCCAGTGGGGAAAGCACAGGGAGAGAAAGGCACAGGGATGTGGGAACAGTTGTCCCTGGTCAGCCAGGACACATCAGTGGCTGCAGGACACCCAGCTCCAGGGTGGGACAGGGCTGACAGCACTCAGAGAAGGCTCTGCCCTGGGAGGGTGTGGGACATGGGCTGCCCAGGATGCAGGGACAGCAGGAGGGATGGAATGTGGCTCATGCCTGGGCTTAAAAAGGGGAAAAATGGGGATTGAAACCATCACAGGGGGCAGAGTTTGGCTGCAGCCAGTCCAGCCCTGAGCCCCAGGGCTCTATTTCTGCATGTCACACTGCAGCAGCAGCACGATGGAGGGGTCACTCTTGGCTGCCTCCTTGAACTCCTCCAGGGAGATCTGGTCATCCTTGTCCTTGTCCATCTTTGTGAAGATCTTGTCCACTCGCTGCTGGGGCGTCAGCCCGTCCTGGTTCATCCTCATCATGATCACAGTCCCCACCATCTTGTAAATGGCCTGGAGAAGGATGAGAGTGGGAATGAGAGGGGATGTTGGAAAGATACAAAATCTCAGCACAAGGCAGGGGACAGGGACAGGACTGCTGCTCTGTTGGGACCCATTTCTATCAGATGCACACCAAGCACCATTCAGACAAGGCTGTGGGGAAGAAAACTCATTCTTCACTGCTAAAAGGGACCCAATATCTACGAAAAGCCTGGAAAAGGCAAAGAACCCCCGCTGGTTTGAAGCGCTGGTACCTCAATGATCTCCAGCATCTCCAGGCGTGTGATCTTCCCATCCCCATCCAGGTCGTACATCTCGAAGGCCCAGTTGAGTTTCTGCTCAAAGGTGCCCCTGGAGGTGACAGACAGGGCACAGATGAACTCCCTGAAGTCGATGGTGCCATCCCCATTCTTGTCAAAGGTGCGGAAAGCGTGCTGGGCAAACTTGGAGGCGTCTCCATAGGGGAAAAACTGCGGGAAGGCGAGAAGAGGAGTTTAAATGAGGAGGGGGAACTCGGCATGGAGGCTGCACCTGAGGTGCTCCAGCCCCCTCCAGGCAGCTCTCAGACCCCCAGCTGGAGCCCACCTTGATGTAGAGCTGCTGGAACTCCTCCAGGTTGAGGATGCCAGTGGGGCAGTCCTTGAGGAAGCCCTTGTACCACTGCTTCAGCTCCTGCTCGCTGAACTCCGTGCTCCTCACCAGGTCATCCAGCATCTCCGGGGCCAGCTTGCTGCTGTGCTTGCCCATGGCTGCCCCTGGAAAGGAAAATCCACACCAGGCTGGAGAGGGATGGCCCTCCCAGCCTTCCTCCACTCTGGCTGATCCCACATCCCTCTTCTGCTTGCTGGATCTGATCCCCCCGGCTGATGGGCGTCCATGCAGGACAGCAGCTGTGGCACTGGGAATGTGGCTGTGGGCCTTTGCTGCAGGAGCTGGCCCTGGGGCAGCCCCCCAGGGCAGCCAGCAGCATCACCCCATCGCCTGGGCTCATTTTGGGCTGCAGGAAAACACTCAAAATGCAGCTGAAAATTCAGAATTCTTCCCGTGGCCTTTGCCAGAGCATGATCACAGAATCCTAGAACGATTCAGGTTGTAAAAAAACTCAAAGGCCACTCAGTTCCAGCCACACTGCCATGGGCAGGAACACCTTTCCCCAGACCTTCTCTAAGGATGGGACAACAAAGAATCTCCCATTAGTGCACATAAAAACCTCCCCGGCACCATCAGCCTCACAGCATCCAGCTGGCCACAGCCATGGCCCAGCCTGCTCCTGGTGGGGACGGGGTCTGGCCAGGGGGCTGCCAGCAGCAGGGAGCCCTGGCAAGGCCCTGGCTGTGTGGGCAGCGAGTGGAGCTGCTCCGAAACGCGCCGTGCCCGCTCCCACGCAGCCTTGGCTGCCAGCACGGCTCAGCCCGAGCAGCAGATGGTTCTCCCGGAGCTCCTGGAGCTCCTCTCTCCATGAAGTTGAGGAGAAGTTCACCTGGAGCCCAACCAAGCGCCGTCTCCTCCCAGGGATCTGATGTCCTGTGGCCGTGTGGGTTTGGGGAGCACGGGGAGGGACCCAGGGATGGGTGGTGTGGGGTTCCTGGTGTTCCCAGCCAGTTCCTGGCAAATCTCACAGGCAGCAGCTCCTTCCTGCCCCGTCATCCCACCAGCATCTGTCACCGTCTGCTGCGGCAGCACGGAACCCACAGCCCTCGGAATGTCCGGGCACCCACAGAGCACAGAGCTGCCCCAGCGACCCCAGCTCGGCTCCATGAACCCGCCCAGCACCACGGGCTGGCTCTAAATTGCTGGCATTGATTATAAACCATGCCAGGCACTCGGCATGGGCAGACCTGCCATGATCCGAGT